CCTTCTTCGGGTGCGAAACGTTGTGTTTTCAATCTTCTCTTTTCAGCATGGAATAAACCTATTACTCGTTCCTTTGCAGCCTACGCATGCTGATGCTATGTTATTAATACCTTTATCTTATTTCGATTAACTTGCATTGAGCCTGGCCAAAATAAGAAATTTTAACTTCTTAAATAAAAAAAGAGAAATGTATATTTTGAAACCCGATTAACAGCTTTTCCGCCATGCCACGTGATTAAATTATCCTTCAGATCAACCTTGCCTTCACCGTTCTCATAAAACCAAGTGGCAGGGAGAGCAAACAACCAACAGAATTAAGCAGTTAATATGTATGATTGCCTTGTAAACAAAACAAAAATGTGGGACACATTTACATTTACAGTTATTCTTAGTCTTGTCCCTCTTTTCTTCGCATTGTTCTTTAGAAAAAAAGACTGGCTTTCTGGAAATGAAAATATGCTTTGCCTACACTGACAGTGTCACTGTACACTTATCAGAAACTGCTAACATGAACAGGGATTAAATGTGAAGAGCTTTAGGAGGCTTTCTTTTTTAATAGCTGCAGGAATATTTTACCATGACTGAGTTCTCCAATAAAAAGGACTCCTTGCCAACAACATTTATTGTAATTTCATTTTATAATGCTTAACAAAGACGGAAGTGCACAGGAATCAATCTTTTGCTACATCAGCACAACATTGACAGTGGAATGTTTATCCATGTGCTGGGAGAGATAATGTCAACGAATTTAAATTCCACATAAAATAAGTTATTAAAATTCAGCTTTTGATCCCCAAGACTTTTCTGAATTTTGCAGAGTAAGCACTTAATTCATTCTACTGAAAGCAGCTGTGATCTCTTACTGTGCCACATATAGTCAAAGGGTTCACAATATGTGTGTACTGTATTTTACAGGAAGGGACTGGTACAATGGAGGAACAGCAGCAATACAGTGGTTCTAAAACACAGTGTTCACCATGTGCAAAGGCAAGATATAGTTTGTTTAATGAAACTATTGTTGTAAAAACGTATGTCGTGTCAAAAAGGAATATGAACCGTGCAATACCCTTCAAAAAATACAAACCACAGCACTACAGAGAATGAACTCTGAAAGGAATTTAAGCATACCAGTCCTCTGCATTCAAAACCTGAGACCCACAATTAAGCCACTTGGGTTAAACCCTTCAAATATTCCATTTTTTTTGTACGTTTGCCTGGTAAAATGCCTTAAGTTTCTTTGTTTCTACTAAAAAAACAACAAAACTCTATGGATAAGGATCTTTCATAGTTCTTATTATTTCCAGTGTTTTTCATAATATATTCACAGTACTCGTTATCCCAGTGGCCAAGGTCATTATCACACTTTTTCTAAAGATAACCAAGCTTTCAAAATCAAAACATCATTTTTAGCCACATAGTGTGATGGGGTCTCACTGCTAGTCTTTCACGTACCTGAATTCAAAATTCCAGAACTAGTAATCAAATGTTTATTTGGTTTACAGCTATCAATTAAAACCTAAAATGGTTCAGACACCACCCCCCATTTAAACATCTGGACATGCAAACATATTAATAAACAACAATAATAATTAAAAACTTACCATCAGAAAAAGCATCACTGTACTATGTGAGCTGCAAACATTTCAATGCAGTCGGTGCTGTATTTTACCAGACAGCGGCAGTGTGGATTTTCAGGGAAAATTAGCAGTTTGGCAACTGTCCTGTTTTACAACGGAATCCCTACTCTGCAGTACTTATAAAGCAGAATCACAAAATCTCCACCAGTTTCAGTTCTTCAGGATAGGAGTAGTTTGTGGTATGTTATAGAACATTCAAGAAATAATAATAAGTAGAACTAGAAGAAAAAGAAAATGTAACCTCTCAGCCTCAATTTCATCGACACAACTTCCCATAGAACATTTTATGAGTTTTCATTTGAAAATATGAGCACAAAAATAACAACAATATATGTGTATATCTGCAAGCATCAATTATTGGTAGCCAAGCCAAAATATTCCTTGTCTGGGAAAACTGCAATTTTTGATAGAACATATATGACTATATATACAGTATGTTCAAAAATAAGCACAATTCAGTCAGGATGACTAAATGGGCTTCAAGTTTTTCTTAACTAAATTTCTAACCTATTTTCAGAAGAGGTTGAAGTAACCTCTTCTAAAACCACTTATTAAAAATCACCCCATCGTGGTTACCTTCATTTCCTCATTTAGTGATAACATACGGTATTGTACAGTATGTGTTTATTAACGCCTAATCACGCCTACTGTATGTTTTATTCAACAGAATCTCAGACACGGCAGCAATAAAAATCACTTGGAACATGATTAATGTGGCAACAGAACAGTTGTGCTGTGTTTGAAGACGTGAAAAGTACAGCGTACATAAAATAAATGCAATAACACAATTCAGCTCCTATATAAAGATATAAAAATCATAAAGTGATAAAAGAAGAAAGGAATACATAAAGATCACTTCAAACAACACTTACAGTTCAGTGAAAGAAAGCTTCCAGTGTGTTATATTTTGCGGTTAAATTTAATCATTGTCAGTTGGTCTACCCATTCTTCGCTCATGGACTGACGTTGCTGTGTGAAAACCTGCCCATACGAAGAAACACTTCATTCAGAATCCACAGAATCTGTAACAACTGACAAACACCAGCTTGTGAGGTGGCTGAATGAAATATGTTTTCTTTTTTGAACTGATCCAGACTGTGTCGTCCGGGCCGCTAATCTGCTCTGCCAATGCTTGGCATGCGTTTATTAATTCCTTAGCTATACCATGTGTTTTTTTTTACACTTTTACGACTCTCAGACCACTATATTAAATCAGTCATCTGCTGATGAGAACGAAAGTCAAAGGAAGCCGAGTTTTCCAACCTCATAAATCTTTCAAGCACTGTTTTCAGCTTTTTAACACTGTTGTGTTCGAGGAAGTGTCCATTTCCATGTCCGCAAAGCTTAGGTTAAAACTGATGTATTTGTAATTATGTAGTAGAACACTAAGTGCCTCATCAAGCTGTCTTCATGGTATGGAGGCAAAATGCATCTCTCAGATGATCTTTAAAATATATTTTCCTGCTTGGATAACATTTAAAACCTATTTCCGTGGAAACTGTCTTCTGGGATATACTCACAAGGGTGATGTGTGATATGTATTTGCAATACATATCAAATGTAATGAATTTTGAAACAGACCTAGAAGACTGTCACTGTGGGCCTTGATCACGTTACTCGCATTGTCAGACACAAAGCCAGAATGCAGGCCTATCTGCCTAACTGTCGATTCACAGGTACCAGATGGCCCTTGTGAAACACAGAAAATGTCAATAATTAATCACAGATCCTATTCTAATCACGCAATTAGAGTGATAAAAAGACACCCTGAGTAGGACACAGGAGGACAGTGAACTTCAGGTTAAGAGCCCTGAAGGCCAGAGTGGTCAACAAAAACTCCCTACCGAGAAGACATTTTAGGGGAAGATCAACAGCAATGAGCAAGATTCTTTTTGGACAGAGCAATTATATGGATTTGTGTACATGCTCCAGAGTAAATATGACTATACAGTACACGCATTCTATAGGGAGATATGACACAGTTTTGCATTTGGTCTTCAAGAGAGGTGAAAGGTGATATGAAAGGACGTTCTTTTGCAGAGCAAAAACATGTGTTCAATAACTGTGAGCCTAGATGTTGGACGTAACCATTAGGGAACCTCAGACGTCATGATCAAGGTCATTTCATTATCACAGAATCACACAGTTACTAGTTCCTAGAATATATAGGGGTTCCTACTGGTGTTCCACAGTAAGCATGGCTCAATCTACACTATCTAAGAGATAAGCTAGTATTACTACAATATCCTACAGCATACAGTACCTGCATGTTGAAACACACAGTATGCAAAAGTATAACCTGTAATGCTTTTGCTGTAGAAAGTAAAATAAAATCCATATTCCAGTGACGGCCCATGCCTTCCCACAATTCATCTCTCAAGGTGCATCCCAGGGTCTAGAATTGCAATGTCATCTGCCATTCAGATTGTCTGATCTGGGAGCACCTTGGGAACACCTGCTCCAGTGCCTAGAAAACACAACCGCCACTGCCAGAGAAAGAAGAACAGATCTGCATCTGTTCACGGCTGGAGAAATGCTCAGGTACCTGCCTGTGGTTCTAAGTAGTAGTGTTTAGCAACAGTGGTCAAACACTTACAGTAATTGCAGTTTTTTTTAATAGAACATGGGATGACCCTTACCATGTAAAATAAGGGCCACAAAGTAAGGCTCTGTATTTTAAATATTTTTCATCACACACATTGAACGGTCAGCGTAGGAAGAAGTTTGCAAACTACATTCAGAAACATTGCACCCTTCTGGTGTACTGGAAAAACGGTGCATGTTTGTTTTTTAAATGGATACATTAAGTGTACTGTATGTTTATATGTGCACGCACAATTGTATTAACTCACAAAACAAACATTTATTTATACTTCAGGCCTGTGTTAAGTTACCTCCTTATTTTCAAGTTACAGCCACATGTTCAGTCATTGCTTCCTGCCCTGAACAGACTTTTTAAAGGAATGCCTCAGGGGAAATAAGTGCAGTTCTGTGCCCTTAATGATAATATCTGTCAAGCACATTCAAATGTCACATATACAGTATTTGGGTCCTACCTATTATTAAAACCTCCACATTTTCTGTGTTGAACATTGTTATTCCACAAGAACAGTGTTTATGCTGATGTTGCTGCTGTTGTTTTCAGGCTGGACACTGGAGCTCACCGTGTGCACAATACTTTCTGTCCTTTCCCAGTGGATACTGGGAAATAGTCAACACTGAACATGTAAATTTCCACTAACACTGTGGATTTTACATATATGAATAAACAAGTGAGCAATACAATATTTTCACCAGAAAACAGACACATCCAAGGAAGCCGACATTTACAAAATATGGGAACAAAAACATGTCACAACTTACCTGGTTTCCTTAAGCCCTTCTTTCTGAATGACTTCTAAGATTTGTTTTGCAGTCATCGGAGTATTAGGATGTTTTTCTAATGCCTAAAAGGAAACATGGGAGAATTATTGCGAGGTTTGTCCAAGATGCAGAAATCTACCATTGTTTTTGTAGCAGCGTGAGGCAGTAAAGAGATGTGCTTGGCCACTGTGGCTAATTCTTCTGCTACCAGAAGCCAAAAGGCTGTAAAATCAAGACCTGGCTTAGGGCCAAATTATGCAAAGAAGGGACATGACGAGGCTTCGTGCTGACATTTTTGGGGCGGCTTGGCTTTGACGAATTCCTCAAGTACAGCAACATTAGACTCCGAGGCAAACACAGCTTGGAGGTGAAATTGAAGTTGATATCACTGTCCCTGCATTAAAAGTCGAGAGCTTACATTTCCTGCTGCAAATAAACCTTTAAAATCAGGATTGTTGATCATAAACAATGTATTGTTATTATCATTACTATAGCACGCCTCTTTGAAGGGCTTTTCAGCCTAAAGAATCCCTCAGCTCCTCACATATTTACCACTCAAGCACAGCCCCAACATGGGTGATGCGTGGTGGGTATTAAGCACCTGTAGCCCAATATGCACAGGAGAAGAGGTGGAATTAAGGGGTATATTTAGGGAGCTCAAGGTGGAATTCAGCCAGAACATCATAGGATCTGTAATGGGTGTGAAGTCAGGACCTCGGTTTCACGACCTCCTACAGCGCATCATCTCCGGTCACAAGACTGTGGTGCAAGTTTGGTAATGTGACTCTACCAACATGCTTCACAGCAGCAATCAGCTCTCCCATCCCAGTACTGACCAGGCCCAACTTGGCTTAGCTTCCACCATTTCACAAGACCAGGTTACATGGTACTGCAGCAACACTGCAGTCTTACAAAATCAGAACAATTAGGAAATGATTACCCTGTCACAGGGATTATTCATGAAACAACTGCTTATCGCGGCAGTAAAGGTTGTTAGCATCTCATTATATCCTTTTACGATTCATAAATAGTGTTTATTGGTGTGGTATTTGCATTATTGAGACAAAAGGCAATAACACTGAAACAACCCTTTATCTTGAACTGCTAGAGTGAAAGCAATTAATAAAAGAATCATAAAATCCAATGGCTTTTGCCAGCAAGGAAAATAAAATGTGCTAAACTGCTAGACAGTAAGAAATTAGACTTGTCAATGGGAAATGCAATGTTACTTGTGTAATGTGATGTTATTTCTTTATCACATGATTGATGTACTGGTGTCTGACACAATATTTTTTTAAAAATGTTAATACAGTACAATGTACATGACTGCTCTTGTGTCAGGGGAGTTTTGTAGTGAACTCCTGCAGCCATGTTCATTTCTGAAATGTACGTACTGAATGTACGTACTTGACTGAGGTTAGTTAACGCTGTGGTCTGGAGAAATAGGATTGACCAAATCAACAGCCAATCCCTTAATACCACAGTATGGTAATTTCTCTGTTTCTGAACACGACACCAGTTCAGTACGAGGCTTCAGCTCAACAGACAAACCAACCCTGAATTGTCCTCAGAGCCCAGACAGAGAAATAAAGAGCAAGGCCTTGTCTAACTGTGCAGTTTCCATGTTTGCCAAATTGCCCTCTATCAATACCTGATCATTACAGAAACCACTGGGAATGCATTCTTGAATCAACCTGCTGCCAATGTTTATACAGGAGTTTACGTTTCCACTGCTTTTAGTGACAGCCTTGGCCACAGCAGTCTATCCAACTGTTATTGATTTGGACATCGCATTTGCCCCCTTTAAAAAATACATTTCTAGTCTTTTGGAACCCATTACCCATTGCGATGCTTAGTGTGTACTGTTGTTTCCATTCCAGTTGCCGAGGTGATCCCAGAGGTGTGGACAGATTTCCTGATACTGAGTAGCCACAAGTCTCTGTAACTCTTACCCATTCATTTTTTTCTCGTTTTCCTTAAATTGAAACACTTTGCGGTATTTTTCTAATCCTCCGTTTTCTGTTCTGGCACACCTTCGGCAAATTACTTCCCCCTACACAGTGTTGTGGGGGATCTGAAAGAAGCTGCTTACCCGTGTTGTTGAAGCTGGTGCCCTGACAATCTTCAAGAAAGAGCTTGATGACACCTTCATATCAATCACAGACAGTACTCAATAATGAGATGAATGTCATTGGCATGTTTTCACCACTATGTTCTGAAGTCGTAGTTTAAATATGTAATATCTGGAGAAAAAGCCTGTGACTTCATTTTACAAAACCACCAATTTATGTCTAACGTTCAAAAATACACTATTTCAGCAGACAGGCAGAGTAGTGAAAGTCCAAATCAGCCCTGTCTCTGAATTCTGAAGCTATCGCGATCACATTATATAAATACACTAATTCGTTACTTAGCGCACGTTTTTGATTACACTTAAAGACTGATTGTTCTTGGCAGGTTTTGAGGACATTTAATTTGTTTTGAGCATTCAAGTTTTGATTAAAAAGTCTCCACTTGCATAAAATGTGTATACAAATCAGACATCATTGGAAGGGGGTGAATACTTTTTAAAGGGTATATTATTCTGTAAAAAAAAAGCATTCACTCCCTTATCAATACTAAGTGAATTAATAATGACTAATTATTCCTGGTTAGGGTCATGGCTCCATGTATGTATTTGGAACGACACGTTGCGGTAAACTAAACAGAATAATAGAAAACACTACTGAAGAACTATTTAAAATCAAAATAGTAAAATAATATTTAGGGAAAAAAAACTTTAAAGATCAATTCTCTCAAGGACTATCACAGAATGAAAGCCGCCTTTTTCAGAGATATGCCATTTTCATTCCTGGTAAAGGCACATTTTTAATTAGCTCTTATCTACAGTATATAGCACAGTATTCTAATACACATATTTCAATACAACCAGTAAACATGATTTTGTAAAAATGCTAATTATTTTTTCCCCGATTCTATCTTTGAACTAACAGTATACATAATTTACATTTATGTTTTAACATGCATTATAATGAATTAACAGTATGAAAATGTAAGATGCCTTTAATAAAACCCACATTTTAGCTAATGTGTTTTACTATTAGCTGAATCATCTATATCAAGAAAAAACACATTTAAAAAATAGAAAAAATAACATATTAATACGCAAATGAAGAACACATACAGTACTGAACCAAGGTGAAAAATAGACAATTCTTGCACACAAAACCTCATCCTGATGCATCACACGCCAGCTCTATTCTGCTTGCATGGAAAAGATGGACTAGATACAATATGTGTAGCAAAAAGATACTGTTAAACACAATTTGAGACAGAGAACAGATAGACATCCACTTGTATCCTTACATCCACTATAAATTTACCTACAGTAGATGTTCACACAGTCAAAACCAGTCTGCTGATTTCAGTACTAAGATCACAAAAGGGAATAATAAAGATCTGATCTTGCCCTTTCCACAATACACATCTTATCATCTTCCATGATTCTCAGCTCCTCCTAAGAATCGATAGTTGAGATGTAGATTTTCAGCGTGCAATTAATTGAATTGTTTAGGGTGATAATGGACAGTTTAACCCGTGAATATTTTTATGCAAGAGAAAAGGTTAATTTGTTAATTTCACTACAATACGCTAGAACAATTCTGATTAAATGGCCATGCGTTATGCCATACAGATTAAAAAACATCATTTATCATTCATGACTGCAACTCATTTTTAAAGTTAAAATGAAAACATTTTTTGCAACAGCTGCACTTTTCCTTTTACGGAACAGACTTGACATTTTTGGAAATTCTTCTCATCACCAGATTTGATCAACAGCGGGTCTACTGTGAAATTCACGGACTAACAGCACGTCAGGCCTGTGCCTCTTCATTGGTTCTGAGCCCTAGATGCCACTAGTCATCTGGGCTGGATTTTGCTGTTCGGAGGCCCTAGGCACTTTCACTCAAAAATGTGCAAAAAGAGGGGTAAACGCAATTGAATTCCGTCGATCGATATGATGCAACTATTCTAATGCCAAACCACGTGATTGATGGAGCGAGTCGAGTGACCATCACTTCGATACTCCTAGTTTCTAGAACAGCCGCTAGATGGCGTATGATTATTGATTTGGAGCACACAGAGTCTTCCCAAGTGTATTGTTTCAGCTAATTGTTCATTAGTCAGTAGTGTTTCCCTCCTCAGTAGGCCCTAAAACTGTCATAAGCCCCAGGCACTAAAATGCCTACAGTGCCTAATGGGAAATTCAGCCCCTCCCACATGTGCTGCACAGGGGCTCAGGCCTGGCAGACAGGGCACCCGCTACACAACTGCCACATCCCTGCCGGGAGTGTGGTTACACGAGCGGCCGCCGTGCCGGAATGTGGTCGCACCAGGAGGAGCCCGTGGGAAGGGCTGTAGCTGAGGTCCCGGGACCAGATCGCTCCAGTAACCGTGAATTCACGCTGAAGTCGGTCGTGACAAGTCTTGTTCGGGGGCAACGAGACACTCCTGCCCAGACCATCTGTTAATAATAATAATAATAATTGCTTACACTTATATAGCGCTTTTCTGGACACTCCACTCAAAGCGCTTTACAGGTAATGGGGATCCCCTCCACCACCACCAGTGTGCAGCCCCACCTGGATGATGCGACAGCAGCCATAGTGCACCAGAACGCTCACCACACACCAGCTATCAGTGGGGAGGAGAGCAGAGTAATGAAGCCACTTGATAGACTTGATAGAAGCCACTTGATAGATGGCTTTAGGAGGCCATGATTGGTAAGGGCCAATGGGAAATTTGGCCAGGTTACACCCCTACTCTTTTCGAAAAATGCCCTGGGGTTTTTAATGACCACAGAGAGTCAGGACCTCGGTTTTACGTCTCATCCGAAGGACGGTGCCTGTTTACAGTATAGTGTCCCCGTCACTATACTGGGGCATTAGGACCCACACAGACCGCAGGGTGAGCGCCCCCTGCTGGGCCCACTAACACCTCTTCCAGAGGCAACCTTAGTTTTTCCCAGGAGGTCTCCCATCCAGGTACTGACCAGGCTCACACCTGCTGAGCTTCAGTGGGC